AAAAAATGATACATATTCATTCTCATTATTTCTTTTTATTTCATAAATTGTACACATTTGACAATAAAGCTAGTCATATATAAGGAATAAAATCTATTCATACAGTAAAAAACAGCCGTACAGTCTAGTCAGATATAAGGAATAAAATCTATTCATACAGTAAAAAACAGCCGTACAGTCTAGTCAGATATAAGGAATAAAATCTATTCACACTGTAAAAACAACCATGCGGTCTAATCAAATATAAAATCTAATCATACTGTAAAAAACAGCCATACAATCTAGTCAGATATAAGGGATAAAATCTATTCACACTGTAAAAAACAACCATGCTGTCTAATCAAATATAAAATCTAATCATACTGTAACAAACAGCCGTGAGGCCTAGTCAAATGTAATGAATAGAATCTAATGGTTAACTACTAGAAACACCACCGCAGCCTGTGCATCCAGGTCAGCTTTGGTAAGGCACACCGGAAAAATGTCTTTGTGAATAGGCATCACAGCCCTGAATCCATGCAGCTGCATCACAGCCATGGTGAACAGGATACCAGCGTCCAGCTGGAAGCCATGCAGACTGAGAAAACTTTGAAGAGCCGGAATCAGCTTAGGTGTTAAAACTCTGCTGATAATGTCAGAAAAGTGAAAATCGTAAAATAATTCATTTTCATCTACGTAAAGACATCTGTGTTGCCGCTGACTGGGGTGATCGGTCTTGCATCCGTGGCAGATTGTAGGTAAGAGAGCTTTGATCGCCATGTTGACCAAGTGAAGAAGACCCATCTTCACTCAGTCCACCGTGTCTTCTGAAAACACCCAGTCCGGCAGACGTAGAGGCTCCTCACCGGTGCTCTGGATGTCGAGGGTTTGCTGCTGCTGCTGGTGCACACCGTCCTCCCGAATATGTTGAGGCAAAACTGGTGGCGGGTCAGGGATTGATGTCACTGAAGGTTGCGGAGTATCAGGACTCGCTGGAGTCTCGTTGATCCAGGGTCTGAATGGTACGTTTGCAAAGACGGTCTCCGGAACCTCCATGATTGTGGGAAGTCGTGGTAAGTTATCCTCCAGAAAGCATGATGGTGGTGGCTGCAGCGTGGGCTGTGGACTGCCGTTGTATCTTGGTGGTGATGAAGCAGCTAGCACCCAGCTCGGTTGCGGGGAAAAGCTGTCCGGGGTCCAAAGCTCATCAAGGGTTGACTGAGTGTAGAAACCCATCATGCCGATGCGCTAGATCGTCTGGGATGAAAGGGTTTCAAGTTGAAAGCTATTTATAACTAGTGATGGGGGGGGGGGGGGGGGGGGGGAGTTGACGATGCGACCACCGCTCCTCCTCCACCTCCTCCTGAGGCGGGGCTTAGAATTACAGCTTTTATCGCACTGTCAGAATGTCTTTCCAGCAGCGGCTGGTTCGAAAAAGTTAAGTGATACGATCCGCCACTTCATCTATTTTCTCACACCAGGCCTCGAAAGGTACAACCTGTAAAAGGCGGTAAATACCGCATTCAGCATGCACATTTTCCAGCACACATAAGAGCTCTGATCCTCTCTCCCGGACCGAGACCGTAAAAATCCACTGCCCATCCGCATCCTCCAGCCCCTCCCATGAAGCGCTGAAAGCTATCACGGCATTCTGGATTTCATCCAGCGAGGGAAGAGCTTGCAGCTTGTTGCGTTTTACAGCCGGACGAGGTCTCTCACGATCATCTTTGTACACCCTGCGTGGAACTGCGAGGTTGAGCACTGCCCAGTCATTGTAGGAGAGAACTGCTGAATGTGATAAATATGGCTTTAGAGGTTCGTCCTCAGCCAAATCATGGATTAGACACAGCTCCTTAGTGTCATAGCTGAACCGGTACCCAACTACCGGTATAGCCGTAAGGTTCCAGCGGCCATATTTGCTCCAAGAACTCTTTACCGCCAAAAGGAGGAAGCCGAAATCTATACATGTAGAATGTAGACTTGCAGGGAGCACCACCCCCTGCAGGCAGCTGATGGATCGCTATGCATTTGTGCACACTCTCCTCTTTCACCTCCCTCTCCTCTCGAGTAGAGGTTGAAGCATCGGTTGTAGACACTTTTTCCACCTCCTCTTGCTTCACCATTTTCTTAGAGGTATTTCTTCGGCCTTTCACCATTCTGATACGTTCTCAATCTGTCCGCTGAAATGGATCAGAGCTTTTAAAGAGGCAAGCAGGGTTGGAGGGAGGGATGTGGAGTATTACATATGAAAGGGAGGGGCTGTGGGAACTGTGGGGTGAGGTATCCTAACACAAAAGAGTTATCAATCCTAACTTGACGTGAAGTAGTGCAGATTGAATACATCAAAGCAGATCATCAATATACATCTTGACAGAAGGGGACTACAGTCAATAGTTTCATGGGTCATTACACAACAGTCATCAATTCATTTCTTGACATATGGGGTCATTAAAGGCCATATCACAAAAGGTAATAAAACAATACACCTGTCAAGTTTGACGTAAGGTGGTTTGGGGGAAAGGGCATAAAGGTCAAAGAACAATAGACCTGTCAAAAATTGTGACGAAGGGTGGTTTCTTTATCTCTCTCACGTCAGAGAGATAGCGGGGTGCCAGGTCGTTGAGTGCTTTAAATACACAAGTCAATAACTTAAACTGTACTCGGAAAATGACAGGGAGCCAGGACAGGGGTAATATGGCTCCGTCTGTGCGTATTTGTCAAGAACCTGGCAGCAGCGTTCTGGACGACCTGCAGCCAATGCAGGGCAGAGACCAGAGCACCCACTAGGAGGGTGTTTGCATAATCCAGGCGAGAGGTAATGAAAATGTAACGGAATTGAAGTGATGTAACTATCTAAAGTTGTATTTTAATACACTGTAGGTAGTTCACTTTTTATAAACAGAAGAATAGGCTGTTTTTATCATCAGGGAGTTTAATTAAACACTCTGTATTGACTTTGAGACAAGAGAGAGAGATGGGATCGTTTGAGAATCTTTAATTTCTGAATTATAAATTCTAAACAATCTACCAGGACTAACTCTGTGATGCATGAAAATGGATTCGGATGTTGTGTTGGTGCGCGCGTGTGTGTGTGTGTGTGTGTGTGTGTGTGTGTCTGGTTCAGACTCTCTAGGCTGACGTAATTGAATCTGGTAGTCTTTGTTATGACTAGATATCATGAGGCTTATAAAGTGATGACATGAGCTGCTATTTTGCCGTGTACGTACCCAGTGGGGGGTCTCCCAGGTAGATCAGGAAATGCCAGGTCCAAGAACCTCGGGTGTACGCTGGAGCTGTCGGTGCAGCGGTCACAACGTTTCAAAGCCCGTCTGGAGGGTCGACCCCGGTACCGTGCGGCGGCGCGTCAGCAGGTGCTCTTATTTTGAAAAGGATGTCGTCTGGTTGTTAAACGACGAAAATCTCCCACTTCACAGTTCTTAGTTTAAAGACGAAACACATCTGGCCAGTCTGTGCTTATCTTTAGGATGACGATGACTAGAACTGAAGTCAAAATGGAACTGACTTAAAAAGGCGTTGCCTTGTTTTATATCTCTGAATTGTTGATAAGTTGTAGTAAAGTGGATTGGACACTTGAAGTCAACACCAGATTCTCCTGCGGCAGCCGAAAGCTCTGATTGGTTGGAACAATGTGTCATGCGTTTCTATGGAGATGAGGGTCAGTATGTCTGTGCAGTTGTCCTGTTTTCATTAAACATAACTCATGACATATTTATTTCACAGATCATTCACTTGATTATTGTTGATCAACATCTGTTTTGCATAATAATTTTAATCACAAATAAAGTACTTTGATTAAGTAAAGTTTCTTCTTCTCCTTCGGACTCTTCTCCTGGAATGTAAACAGTCTGAGGAACACCCGACCTTGGTTTTTCTACACGGTGTTATTGTGCACAGGGGGCAGCTGTGTGGAGCTGAAAATAATGAACTTCATAACCTTACAAAAACATGGATGACTGACTCCAAATGCCTCCGTTTCAAGATTTGTCTGTTCCAGGATATTCTGGTAAAATCCACACCATACCATACCAAATGTATTTGTATAGGGCATTTAAAAAGCAGCATGTTAGCCCCACAACAATGCTGCATGGAGTTAAAGCATCAAACACTAAATCACAAGATTGAATTTTGCAAATGGCTGCACGCAGCAAGGCAGAAAGATCTGAAACAACCGGTGACTCCACCCCCCAGCAAATCAAGATGTCATGTTTTCAGTCTAAGACACCTTAGAAAAAAGCTATCTTGTCTAATGATTGCAGACAAGCTAAGACAGCAGCTATCTTCTCGTCAAAATATGGTGGAACTGGGAATGCCAAGGCAAGAGTAATGCACCAATCTCATGCAACCCGCCCGATGTTTTGATATGTGTCACGCTATATAATTTGGGAACATTGCGACACCTTAAAAAGCCAAGAACATTCTTCCAACATTATATGACACTCAAATTGTGTTTTGGAGGATTTGTGGTCATCCCTAATATGTTTTATTGCAAAGGGTAAAAATGTTTAATGCTTCAATTTAATTACCATTGTTTTTGGAAGTTTGATTGAAAAAATTATACTTTTGTATGGTAACCTCACTTTTTCATTGCCTAATCACTTGCGATGACCATACGTTACATGTTCTACCTAGTAGGTGGCAGGAGCAGTTCAAAATGAGGTTAATGAGTAACAAAGCCAGTAAATTAGAAGTAAAACCGTTTGCACTGGCTGACACGTGTTCTTCACAATTTTATAAAGACAACTGAAAAATAACAATGAGCTCTTCCTTTCCAATAGAAACACTAGCTTGTTAAAATGATTCCATTTACTGATTTTTAGTAGTAATAGCATGTAATAATATATTTAATTCTGTGCAGAATTTAGTGGCTCGACTCTCAATGTACTTTCCTTTCTCTCATGTGGGCCAAAGAAATATTAGCCCACCTCTGTCTATGAGTCGTAATCATTCACCACATATTCAGAAGCCTCATCGTAAGTCTAACGTTTGTTGTTTCTTTTCAGGGATTCCTGGTTGCCGTGCTGTACTGTTTTGCTAACGGAGAGGTATAATTTACTTACATTCATAGTAATTAATAACGTTTAGGGATGTCAAGTAAAAATTCTGGATTTTAAGCAAACTATGAGGTTCTTTGTGTAGAACTTTTTTTGACAAAGACAAATTAAAATTAGGCTTAGTTTGAGAGGTTGAGTAATTTCTTGAGGTAAAAACTTAGATTAACTTTTCTACTGAAGCCATCATTAAACCTAAAATGCACTTAAAACAAGGTGACTATTAAAATAAACAATATTATAGATTTGCAGCATATGAAAATGTCTGTCAAACCATTGATAATAAGTAAAATGAGCTACAAACTTTAATAGTGAAATGCATATCTCCATGTAGGTCCAAGCTGAACTAAAAAAGCACTGGCAACTTTTTTTGTTCACCAACCACTTCAAGGGCCAAGGCTGTTTTCGGGGAGTTCATGTCAAGAACCTGTGGAAACAGTCTTGTGGACAACATGCAAGGGAATCTCGGCAACGTGACTCTTACAACTCTGGTGGCACTTTGACATCGCACCCTGGTCTTCTTCAAGTGGCGGTGCACGGGGAAGATAGGGTGATTGGGGAAATGAAAGGACAGGGGCTGAAGGGATGCAATGCGGCAGGGCTTGAATTTCTCACCAGGAAGAGTCTTTCTAGCAGCGATGGTGAGATGACGCTTGGAGAGACAATGGAGGAGATTCTAGAAGAGAGCCAGTTCTGATTGCAACTGGTCTTTTTCAACCATGAGTGGAATTACATCAGACCCAGTTTGGGGATCAAAGGTTTTTCTTGTTGTTTATCCTTGGAAGAATGGATTTCCATCTCGAAAAACTTCACCAATCCTTGGTTTTGTGAAACTCAAGAAGTCATAAAAGCCGCAGGTTAATGTTTTGTCCAAGGTTGATTTGTAAATTTAATCTAAGAAATTACATCAGAATTTAGTTGTTTATGACTGCCTCCTCTAAAGGTATCGAGTTTTGATCTGCGAGCTGAAGTTGAGCAGAAGTGGAGGCAAATAGTGTTTTTTGCTTCCTTAATTCACGGAAAGCCAATATGTGCAATGATAACAACACCCTCATGCGCTAGATGTTGTGGTTTTGATGAGTGAATAAGCCCCCTCGTCTCTGTTAACTGTAGATGTACCTTTTTCCCCTCATTTTTAGAGCCTCCCTTATCCATTTTTTGTAACTGTTGCTTTCCATTACCACAATGCCTGTGTTGTCCTAGTCCATTAGATGGTTGTTTCATTTGTAAAGATTGGTGATGCTAATCTAAGGGTGTGTTTTATTTTATTTTATTTGCGATGTCCCACAGCCAGATTTTGTCCATGCAGCCTTCTCAAGAACTCAGATGTTTCAGAGCGTGTGGGCGGAGCAAAAGACACGTGGAGAAGTCAGTGGTGCCCTTCCTAAGTAAGTAAAAAAAGACGGCTGTGAGCAGTGTTGCTTGAGTGGAGACAAGAAGCACAGTGCTTCCTTCTCTCTCACTGATTGTGCTGTGTGCTCCTCACAGTAGTCTGTCCTCACCAAGCCCCTTAATTCTGCAGCAAATATGAAGTCAACAAGTAAGTGGCAAAAATTGCAGTTCTACCCTCATCCACTAGGGTCTGGCAGCAGAAGTGAACCAGTCCTCATTCACTCCCATTTTAAAAATGCCCATTTCACAGCAGAAATAAACATGTTTACAGTCTGGTTCAAAAGCCCATTTTAGGTTCAAAAGATCTAGTTGACGTTCATGGCAACTCGGGGGGGGGGGGGGGGGGGGGGGGGGGGGGGGTTGGGGGATTTTTTGTAACTTTTTTGTTCAAGTGGAATTAAATTCTTAAATATCTGAATAATTAATGAGCATCCACGTGACTTCAGAGCTAGCTCCGAAGAAAGGCCTCTGAGGAAGACCACAGAAACACCGCAGCTCTTTTTGTTGATGCAGCTTCACTTTTGAGACACTGAACTGCATTTTTCTCACTGAAAACGGCCAGGAAAACTCCCTTAGTTAGTATGTAGCTCATTTCTCCCTGATCTCTGGCTCCCAGAGAAGGGAATATCAACGACAGATATTTCAGCACGGTGGACCAACAAAGCCCGATGACCTTGGTCAGCTCACCTAGTTCTGATTTCGTTACTAAACAGGGCGGAGGTGCCTTTACTTTGGAGTCGCTCTACCGCTTATTTATTTTTATTTATTTTTTGCTGAAAACAGCCTGGAAAAACTCAGTTAACTTTGGGTTAGCATGTAGCTAATGTCCCGCTTATCTCCGACCATGGAGCAAGAGCTGATGTAAGAGGCCACGGTGTCCAGCTACGATCACAGCGGTCTGAAGCTCTGCTTGTAATTTAACAGTCCCAGTCCATATTAGATCTCCACAGGCGACCACAGAGTTACCCTCAACAGTTAATAGCTTTACTATGCAAAAAAACACCTCAAACACGTAAGCACGAACATCAAACAGTTAACAATGTGAGACCCTGTGACCCTGTTTTCCCCCAAAGAGAGCAGCAGACTTGTACGCTCATTGCTGTTGAAGCACAGGTGGAAGGGAAATCGAGGGAGAGTGAAGAGTACATTGACACCTTCCGTTGATGACCTCACCAGGCTAAGACCACCAATCTGAAGGCAGGGGGAGTAGGCCAGGATTTCAGAGCATCTGTCTGCATTCCTTTGTGGAGGTTGTTTCTTCTCACAGCTCAAGGCTACCAGGGTGCCAGATTTAGATAAGAAGAATTGTTTGGGTCAGAGATCATTTTCTTTCTGCCTTTCAGTTTTAGCTGATCATTCCAGTGTCTCAGAAAATACAATTTTTGTGTTTAAGCTTGCCCCTACCATGCATTGACTTTCTCCAAGATCACATCCATCTTGCGCACTAACACTGGGATCGCAGCTAGAACCTCTAGCTTGCGATTCACCTCGAGTAACGTCCCAGTCCGAGCAGTTTCCACATGGCTGAGACTTTCCACTCTAATCGCCCCCAACTTCCCAATTTTTCAAAATACCAGAAAACCTCCCTCTCCAAAAAGAAGAAATCCAGTAAATGTCAGCCCGAAAATCCTCCACGGACAGCTGGGACAGACGTATAACATTCCACTCTTTCCAGAAATCTAATACCCCATTGGGTGCGTTCCATCCGGACAAGTAGGAGCTCCCTGCTCCATACTCATTGTTGAAAACATTCTTGTCAATCACGTTGAATGACCAATTAACCAAATCTATGATTTAATAAAAATAGAGCGGTGGTGACAGGGACACTTTTCCATTCTTTATTTCTTCTCCACATTTTCTCTTTACATTTCTACTTTATTATGGATCCTACCTATTTTTCATTTTGTAACTGCGTGGATCAGAGAAGGAGAAGCATGAAGAAAACTAACTTTTATAACAAGTGATCAGAATCAGTCCCGTCACTCCATCATCCTTCTGCTTATTTTATATTTGTGTCCATTTTTTGTACTTGTAGCTGAATTGTGAACTTTCATATTCCACACAAATATAACTGAGGTATTGGTTGTTTTTTATATGATTTTTTTTAATGTTGTAACATATAACATTCAGATGACATCAGAATGGGACTGTGAATATAAATACAATGTATTTGTAATATGACTGTAAGTACTGAAGTTTGGAAAATGTCTGTGAATCTTTCAGCTTGTTAAAGGTGTTGTACCGATGAATGTTTGTACCTGCTGTCACACAACGATGTATGAGCACAAATAAAACAACATTTAAAGGTTCTCGTCTTTTACTTTTTGGGTCTGAATTGGAGACATAAGAGTATGGTTTTCTACAGGGCCAGACGATCACCCACATAGGTTCAAAGTAACAAAGCGCCCCGTGATTTTTATCTTGAGGGGCGCTATAGAAAAGATCTTTTCTTCTCTCTCTTTCTCTTAATTCATGCACTTAAATATTAATGTTCTGATTTTACTGAAATACTTGTTCTGTAATAGTTCCTTTACTATTGTGATAAAAAACATTTAATCTCAACTCTGAGGTTGCTCTGTAAATAGTTTTCAAATAAACACTACACATAGCAACTTCTGATCAGACATAAAATAACGTACTGATGTAAACCACACCCACTTCCGGGTTAGGCCACGCCCACTCCGAGTACAGATATAGATAATTTAGATGGTTATACAGATACAGATAGTGGTGTATTCGCTCATCCCTACACGCAACACACAAGGGCTCCGTGACTCACAGAGGCTGACAGACTTTTTAACTGTCCAACAACAGTGACCAGAGACCACGAGCTTGGTCAGGACACTGCTTCTTGTGAAGTACTTGTTTAATCAATACATTTGCAGTTATCTTAGGAATGAATTTCTTGAAGGTTGATCTCGACGTGTGTGTGTGTGTGTGTGTGTGTGTGTGTGTGTGTGTGTGTGTGTGTGTGTGTGTGTGTGTGTGTGTGTGTGTGTGTGTGTGTGTGTGTGTGCGTGCGTGCGTGTGTGTGTGTAGCTGAGCTTCAGATGGAAGGTTTTGGAGTCCTATTTTCTGATCTTTTGACAACTCACCTCAGATTAGATAACAGCAACATGACTACCACTGGCATGCAACATGGATGTTTTATCTCCACCACAAATGACACAAGCCTAGAGGAGCTTCTGCTGTGTGGTGAAGTTGCAAATACTAATGGTTAGCTCCTGCTAGTCAAAACATTCTCTGCTAATTTCCGGACATTAAAATAACAGCCTTCCTTTTCATGAGTCAAGATTGGTGAGTCCATGAATGTTAGGTGATCTGTCAGGATTTTAATCCCGCTTTCTATCAGAAGCTAATGTTAAGAGATAGGTGTAGGAGACTATTTTCATGTTCAGCTTGTGTGAAAAAGCTTGTGTGGTTTCAGTGAACCACACCTTCAAATTCATCAGCAGCACCACCATTGCTCTCTCAAAACATAAAAGAAGAGCCAAAGATATTTAGCGACAGACACAAGGGATGGAAGAACATCAGCAAGCGTTTCATTCGTAGACAGAAATGATGGGAAATGTATTTAGAGGTGGTGCAGAGGTGTTTGGCTGCCATGATTGGTGGCAGGAAGGCACTACATAAACCAATGAATGAATCAATATTTTTCACAATTTTCTGGTTTAAATCAAAATTGTTTTGAAATTGAGTCTGAACTACCACTTCACTTCTTGTTTGACCATCTCTTACACATACTTTTTATTTTGTCTCAATCAGAATTTCGATCAGAAGAGACTCAGATGTGACCCTGGAGGATGTTGAGGCCCTTCTGGCTCCCACCTATACGTTAAAACCACCAAATAATCTGTCTAAAACTCGTGCCAGCTTTGTGTAATTTGTGCAGCATGAGTGTGACACTAATGGAGCTGAAAGGATAACTTATCATTTTATCAGCGTAGCCTAGTGACTCTCATGTGATCATCATACAGTCCCACAGCAGGCATGTGAACCTGAATGATGAATAAACAATGAGAAGTGTTTAATGGGATTAGCAACAACTTTTCATGCTATCCAGTTTAAAAAGGTCAGGCGTAGAAATGCTCCGCTGAATCAGTGTTCACCCGGATACTCCTCACATTACGAACAACAGATCCGTGTGTGTTGGCTGGGTAAGAAGTCCAATATTTCAACTTGAAACCCTGTTCAGAGGAATCATCTGAACATTTGACCCCACAGCCTGGCTTACTTTATCACGTTCACTTTAAAACATCTGTTAATAAATGACTAAGCCACACGAAACCAGACCGTAGCGGGTGAATTTACGTTAGCATTTGTATTTCCCAATAGAGGTGTAGAAGGGTAAATATTGTTGCTTTTAAGCTCATATTACCTTTACTTATGACCAATAAGATGTGATACTCTATATAAATATAGAGTATCACTCTGATTGGTCTTTGGATGTTTAATCAGAAGAATTAGGATTCTTTGCTTTTTCAGGAATCAAACACACTTCGTATTATTCAGACAGAGTCAGGTTTATAAAAAGTAAGAAATTTATTTTCTAAACAAATAAAAAACAAGACAAGTTAAATTAAATGAATGTGATGGATGAATATAAGTGGATGGAATGTAGTGTATGATGATTGAATGGTGTCACACCCTGTCCTGTCTCTCCATTTGGTTCAGCCTGTGTCCCTGTTGATTGCTCCCACCTGCCTCTTGTTTCCCAATCACCCAAGCTCCCAGCCCTCCTGTATTTAAACCCCTCCAGTCCTTTGTCTCTTGTTGCCTCATTGTTTCCATGTCCTGCGTGCGTGAATCATTAAAACCCTTTCAGTTGTCCAGTTTGTCTGCCTGCCTGCTTTCTCCCCTGCATGTGGATCCTCACCTCTGCTCCATTCACCGGCACACACTGACAGAATGAGGCAAACGTTGAAGGATCCAGCGGGGAGATTCTCCCGTGGGAGTACCTGCTCCAGTGGCTCGCTCCAAGCCACCACCCGGCTTCTCCAGCTCCAGCTCCGCCTCGCCGCGGACGACGGCGCCGGCGTGCACCCTCGGCCTTCCTCTCCACCCTCCCAGCGCCTGATGAGAGACCGGATAGAGAGACGCGTTCGGATCACTCCAGTTACGTGGGCACCCGTCTGGCTGTGTGCTCCCCCGGCGTTGATCCACGGCGTGGGGAGAGACGCCGGGCTCCCCCGCAGTCCTGTGTTCCGGGACGGAGCTGTGTGCCCGCCGCTGCCCCTGCTCTGCGCAGCAGTTTGGACAAGCCCTCGGCCAGACCAGCAGTTCCGTCTCCGAGCAGTTCCGGCTCCGACCCAATCGGCGCCTCCGT